TGCAGGGCACTGCTCTCCATGCTGCCTGGCTGTGCTCCTGTAAATCATTATCAGATCAGTATCTGCTGATATGCCTAGTGAGTAATCGGCTACCAGTATCAGCCAAGAAAATCTTTATCAGTGCACCCCTATTAATTATAACTGGATAGTCTTGATATCTGCAGAACAGTTCACCTGTTTTAGAGGTGAAACATTCTTGTTTAAGAAGAATGTTCCTCTAGAAAATTCTGACTATGCTTCCAGATCTTGAACAGCAACAGCCTCCACTTTTCCAACAAGGGGCACGACCAGGAATTAAATCAATATTTCAAAACTTATTCCAGACCCAGATAACCAGAGAAAGCCAAAGAGTAAATAGGCATGTTGTAATTCATCTACACAGACCTGCATTTTAACATATTTTCAAGTCAGGCCTCCCTAAATGTGCAACCTGGACAGGCATCGAAACTGACTGTATGGTTAGCAGATATCAGGACCCTTTCTTGCCTTAAGTCTTGACCATGCAGTTCCTGAAATGCTTGCAATTTCAACCTGCTCAGAAAGCAAGATATTAATAATTATTTGAATTCCTGTCAGCCAGTAGTGAAGCACAATGAGGATGAAGAGATGTTTATGTTCACAAACTGTTTTCTGTTCTTATGTCTACAGACTTCATTTTCCAAGTTAAAGCTACATTAATAAAATTAAGTTAGACAGCTAACATGACAGGATGATCAGCAATTACCCAAGGGCAACACCAATATACCCAGAGATCCCTTCATATCCTGTTTGAAGATTAAGGGTATTTTTTGTACTCAGTAAGAAGTTTCCTGCACATGTTCCATCAAAACCAAAGTGTTCTGCAAGTAGAGCTTTGGTATATGAAAGTATTTTGCACCTCACTACTTCCTGCTGTAAAAGTCTAAGAACCGGATGCTTTCTCATTTTTTCTGAGCTCAGCTGCATGCAAGAGAATCTCACACTTAACTGTGAACACTAATGCTATTAAGTTTGTACCTACTCATTTTTATATCACAGCTAACAAAGCAAAGGCACCTACTGCTAAGGAAGAGTGGCTAGATGGATTCAATGGCAAACCCAAGTGCAGTGTAACCTATAACTAGAACTTGGTTTTTACATCATAGGACAGAACAAAGAAAAATTTAAAAGTTATAAACAAAACTAGCACACAAAATAAATAAATAAATTATTGCTGAACTAGTCCATTTTCATCTTCCTTTCACAGGAGCCACTATTGCATGATACTGTTTTACCAGCCTTGCTTTTGGAGTACTCATTCACACTGCTCTAGGGACAGGACTGATTATTCCCTATTGGAGATTCACACTAACCAGACTAATACTGCACTGATGCCACAATATCTACTTTTGCCATTCTGGTATATCAGCAATACAGTATATTCATGCAACTATTATTTAGAGCAGCAGTACCAAAGAATAAAGGGAAATGAATGGCACGGTATCTGCCCATATATGAGCAAATGCCTCTTAATAACTTCATACAACTGACCATTGTCTCTGCAACCAGTCCTCCTTTCTCCATTAAAAGGAAAGGCCCTTTCCAGTTAAATCTTCAAATTCTTCATACAGGTCAGGCTCTCTCTCCAGGAAGACTTTATTTTTCTGTAATAACCATCTCACACATTCAGAAAGTGAACAGAACTGGTGACAGAAACCACAGCAATCTTTCACCTAAATGCATCTTATGCGCTCCATGGCTTTTGGAAGACAAGACATTTAGCTGCTTTGGTAGATGTTATCCTTCCTGTCTACTGAGTTTCCAGAAGACAGTTAAAGATAGCCATGTCATCCAATTAAAAATGGTCATGGTTAACCCACTGACCCATTCTAGACTTTCCTGCAAAAGGCACCAAATCCTGGAACAAGGCCTATGACAGCCCTGCTGCAATATTGTTTATAGTGTTCAAGTCATGAACTACTGACAAACTGGACAAGATTAGCATCATATACTTTCCTGAGAAAAGGCATTTCAAGCTTCTCTGATATTAAAGATATACCCAAGACAGTTGATTGTGACAATATCTATAGAGCTTTAGGTACATGTCTCAAGAAGGTACATCACTTTTTGCCTCACAGCTCACCCCCTCTGCCCACATTTCTAAATTGAAAAAGACTGTCAACATTTATATGAACCGGGCTAAATGGTTATTTCATGCCAACACCCTTGACTAGTTTTCTGACTATGGCTTATATACATAGATACATAGGTAAGGTCCAATCATGTGCAGAGATGATTTATGGTAGAACTGATTACAAGAATCCTGAGCTGAAAGGACAGTTAGTCATGCTCTATAGCTCTCCAGTGCCTACAGTGCCCTTTAGCCCAATTTACACACCAGTGGTACTGTTAGAGCTCTAAAGGAAATAATATTATTAATATATATTTTATAATGTATAAGTGAAAGATTTAAACAAAGCTTTTTCTGTAAATGAAGTTAAGATATAGTTATTTTAATTCCTTCCCCTCCCCACTTGTATCAACTATAAAGCCAATTAATATTATATATATATATATATATTTTTTTTTTTTTTTTTTTTAAATAAATCGCATATCATAGTATGAAAACAAACTAAACTATAAGTACTTGTCATAACAGAGGGCAACTATAGAGGAATCCTAGCTCGTTTTATGCTCACAGGAGAAACTAATACAACTAAGGCCAACAGAGAACCTGCTAAGTCACCATACTGCAACACTGGTTGCCCAGTATCATATTTATTATACATCAGCTCATCCCCAAAAAGTCATACAGTAGTATTTTAGTGATGGAAACCCAGTACAAGAACATTTCAATGCAAGTGACAGATCAGTGATGCACATTCCTACAATTAGTACCAAAACAAGTATGTAGCTAGTGGAACATTGACTACCAAATCCCACTCTAATAAAAACCAAAAGCAGCAAGGGGCCAACATATAAAAGTCATAAAATGAAAAAGGTATATATATTTTTACAATGAAGAGCTTATTTCTAATGGCTATAGGGCAAGTCTCCATTCATGTTCTAAGGCTTGCATTTTTTCCACAGTGAGCAAACTTAGAGATAGAGTAATATAATCTACATTACATTCCTGAAATTCAGCTGGGTGACAGCATTTAGCTCAATGTATTTCTCTCTCAGAAAGTTTTCCTTTATGTACAAAGGAAATTTCCAAGACAGAAATACACTAAGCTGAATGTTGAATGCTACAATACTTCAAAACACAGAATTTAGTGATAGTAGTAATCTCTATTTCTACATTACTATATAGTAATTCACACATGCAGAGCAAGTGATTATTACTATATAATATAGTAATAAAAGATTACCACCACCATTATTAAATGCTGTGTCTTGAAGTACTGTAGCCAAATTCTGGAGTCCAATGCTATGGCCCTAAAGTAATTCTATAAAGAAATTTATTTCAGATACCTGGTATTTCTGCAGGCTACTTTGTTCCTTAAAGTATTCAAAACAGCACCCTGTCATAACTTCTGCTGAAGTCAGAAGCCACTACTTCAAAGCTAACAACAGTAACAAATGGGGAAACATAAATCCAAGAGGATGAGATCAGAGAGTTTCTACCATTGAGAAGAATTTCAAATCAAAGTTAATTTGGAGGGATGACTAAAATTCACTCTCAGTACAGCATGCACTGAAGGTCTAAGTAAAATCTAATTGGGCAACATCACTAAATGCAACCTGGAACAATGACAAGGGCATCGTTGGTATAATAAGTTAGCACTGGAAATTGGTGGTGGGAGCGCAAGATTTGTGAAGTTAAGAGAAACCTAGTATGTGTTGATGTACTAGCCATTAGCCAGAACACTTACAAGAAACTATTCACAGTACACTTCAGAAAGCAAAAGAGAGCTGAGAAGTCTTGCAGTAGTTTCTGTCTGACAGTAATAGTTGCTCTTCACAGAAAATATAAACAAACAAGTTTTGGCACATGACACACTACAGCTAGTCAATTTGTGAGGAGCAAGCACTGCGCAGCTTGCTACTCAGACACTAGTGGAAGAGATTACTGTCTACTGGGGCTTTTCCTTTTGCCTCTTCTAATTTCTCAAAGGGAGGCACTCTTCACTCTTTGGCACAGAGACTCCCATCTCCGAGTTAGCAAGAATACTAACATGTCAGGTGTTTGTAACTGGTACTCCAAGCTCTTCCCTCCCCATTAACCTTGTTGCACAGCAACCTGCCTCTAATTCAGTTATACATGCTCTAACTTGCCAAGAAGCTCAGGCTGATCCTGACATCGTGGGACTGCAGTTTAGCAAAGCCATAGCCAAGAACTGGAAAGTACAGCAAGTTACCAGTTTAACTGGGCAGTCACCTGAAAATGTTGAATTTTATCTTTTACAGCTCTAAGGATAGGAGGCTTTATACTAGCTGTTTTATCAAGCAAGAGCAGCAGAACCTACTTGGAGCTACAAGTCAATAGTAGTGCACTGCACCAACTAGTTTGACATCCGTTTACCAGTACTTTATTTGAATTTTGCTAGGATCTCTCATAGCAGCTTCTAGCAGATGCTTTCATCACATGTGCATGCTTATGTACACCAGTCATTTTTTTCCAAGTTACATCCCCTCTCCTAAACAGATTCAAACCTAAACTAGATTGCAATCCACGCAAACAGTCATGTTAGGAGCCCCTCTCTAGTCTGGCCATGCCTCCCCAAGACTAGGAGAATTTGTTCAGTCTTCCAAGTTGCCTCCCATTCTCCTAAAGATGTAAAGCCTTAAACAAACAAAAACAAAAGGTGTAGCCACAAACTGAACGCTGTTCCCCTCTCCAAGGCTGGTCTCTCAAGGGAAACGAGTCCTGGGAATAGAGGGGGCAGCCAGACCCAGGGAAGCAGCTTCACCCTCCTTTTGAGGAGTGGCTGGGTAGTGAACGTGGCAGGACAGGCTGCACCTGCATCCCTGACAGCGGCTAGTGGGTGGGCGGGCAAGACACAAGCCCACTGCACTGCCAGCTACGGGTCATGTTTTACCTGCAGCTCACACCATGCGACCTCCACCGTGGTCTCGGTGTCCAACCCTTTGTAGACCGTTTTGAACGAGCCCCTTCCAATCTCGATGTCAAACTTGAGGAAGCGGCCGTCGGGGGAGATACCCACGGCTTTGGTCTCCAGCTCCTCGATGTCCTCCTGCTGCCGGCTGCGGTCCTCCTGCGCCTCG